ACTAGGTGGAGAATAATGTTTCTCGACTGTAACGTGGTAATTAATTTCACATGAAAACACATAAATCTTTTTGCACCGAACAAGTCCATTGGGTACATTTAATCATAGCATGTCCTATTGCCTCTAACTAAGTGTGTGTTTATTTTTCATTATTGTAGAAAAAATGGAGTAATGAATAATATTTTTTGAAAAACGTGTGATAGAAATTTAAAGTAACTTTATTGGTTTGTGCGTAGAATATTTTTATTGGGTGAATGTGTGGTGAAGAATCTTATTGCAGTAAACAATGTTTTGAAATAATGAAAATAGTAGTGGCAATGGACCGAGCCAACATCTACCCACGAGCTCGGCTCGTCACAAGCTCGTTTGAGCACGAGCCAAGCTCGAGCTCGGCTCAGCCCATGAGCTCGTGAGCTCACGAGCCGAGTCCATGAGCTCGTGGTTTTTTTCTTTTCTTTTTTTTTTTTAAAATTTTTTCATATTTTTTTTTACTTTTTTCTTAAGATTTTTTACGAGCCATCGTGAACTTAGGCTCACGGGCATGGCCCACGAGCCGTTCGCGAGCTCGACGACTCGGCTTGCCCGGCGAACCCACGGCTCGGGCTCGGACTAGTCAAATGACGAGTCCAAGCCATCCACGAGCCGATTAGCCGCTCGACACATTTACCACCACTAAATGGGAGAGAAACAGGGCCTAAATTGGTTTCATGATTCATAGTAGAACCAGCGTTAGCAGCTACTATTTTTGGTACTGTCTTCTGTATGTTTGTTCATATTTTTCGTTCATATTTTCCTTTTGAAATAAAGCATGATAAGGGAATATATATCACCTGAAAACAAGTGGCTATGCTCATTGCTGACACTATTCTATCTGTCAAATCTCCATGTGGTGCCAAGATTCTAACAGAAAATTATTGGAAAAATTCCCCCTACATTTTTTTTATATATTTTTTGAAAAGAAATCCCACTGCATTTTTTTTTTTTAATACAAAATTAAGCAAGGCCATGTTTTTACAAACAGAAATTTCTAATTAAAAAACATTATTAAATTTTTTCCCTTCATTCCCCGTGAAATGCGAACAGGATCGAGGCTGTCAGGAGAGTAACCCAAATTATTAGATTAAAGACTTGATGACTTTGAAAATAACGAATAATCCAAATGCAACTTTAAAAGTCTGTCATATTCCACACTGAAAAATATGGCTAGTAATCATGCTCATGCATGTTCATTGTTTAAATAGCTACGTTAATCCAGATTTTATTTATATTTGGTCACAATTAATTGCATAACTCACGATAAATCTCATGTGCACACTATAATTGAATCTTGAATACAGTCAAAGCATGTTGCAACAATTAAAATCGTAAATCTCTTAACTATAGTTTTGCTACCAGT